GCAGGAGCCGGGAGCCAAAGCAGATCCCGCCTGGCCAGGCTGGGGGGCAGCAGTTGGATCCACTCTGGGGGAAAGCCCCTGTGCCTGCCAGGAGCTCTGACTCTGTTTGTCCTGCCAGCTCTGACCAGTGTCAGGGCCACTGGGAGGGATTCAGAATCCACAGAAATCCCAAATCCTACCGCGGGACTCAATCAAAGGAAGAAAGTAATTTTTGTCATAAAAAGCTTAAAAAACCGGTTAAAAATTCTAGGACAGCAATACTGGGATTCTCAGGAAACTTAGTAGTGCTCTTGGTTCCATTTCAATGTATCTTTAGTCCCTCAATGAGCAGCTTGGAGAACTTCCCCTGGGATTTAGAGGCTGAGCAGGGTTTGCTTTGGATTGCCTGGCACCTCTGGTCCCAGCTGGTGCAAACACAACTTGGGCCAATGTGGTTAAACACACTTTCCTACAAAAACAGTTGCTGTATCCCCTAGAAACTACCCCAAGTTTGCAGACAAAACCTTCATCTCTGTCCCTCCTCAGTTATCCCAGGTTTTCCAAGCTGGTTCAAACACAACTTGGGCCAATGTGGTTAAACACACTTTCCCACACAAACAGTTGCTGTATCCCCTAGAAATTAGCCTATGTCTGCAGATAAAACCTTCATCTCGGTCCCTCCTCAGTTATCCCAGGTTTTCCCAGCTGGGAGCTGCAAGGAGGCTGTAAATTGAAAGGCAGAAAGAGAAGATCTGTCAACAAAAGGCACAAAGAAGGGGACAGGTTTCAAAAAACATTTCTGCAATCTAATGAATAACCCTTTCCAGTTTCCCAGGGAGAAGAACAGGAACTCACAGCCACCAAGGCCTGACAGTCCCCTGCAGCCAGAGCTCAGCACACAGCCAGAGAGGCAATTCCAGCATCTAAAAGAAAAAAAGAAGAAAAAAGTGATTTATTTTGTTTTAAAATAACTTTCAGTTGTTCCAAGCAAAGCAAGCCTTGCTCTGGTTTCAGTTGGGTGAACAGGGAGCGCTGGGCACAGGGCACGTCATTAATGCCCAGGGGATGGGGCTTGGTGGGGGAGGGAAGAGCAGCTGATGGAGTTGCCCAGTCCAATTCCTGCCCAAGGCCTGACTGGCCCAGGACAAACCCTCTGGCAGGCAGTGGTTTTGTTCCCTCTCATGGTCAGTGCCCAGTGTGTCCCTGTGGGCAGTGCCAGGCTGGGGGCAGGCACACGCAGCTGGCAGCACTCTCTGCCCCAAACAGCCTCGGGGGGCAGCGCAGCCCCGGGGGTCGAGGGGGGCTGGAGGCGGCCCAGGAAAGGCCCCCCCGCTCCCCCCGGGGCAGCTCCACAGCCCCCCTGCCCTCTCTGCCACGGGGGCCCCGCTGCTCCCCCGGCTGGCACAGAGCCCCCTGCCCATGGCTGGCAAATCAGGGCCAGGGCTCGGCCTCGCTGCAGCCGCCCCACACGGGAGCAACTCAGGGCTCAGCCCAACATTTCCCTGCTTGGCCACTGCAGAGACCCTCAGGTCACCTCAACACCTTCCTTCTCTTCCCAGCAGGTTACCTGAACTTTAACACCCACAACTGTCTGTGTCTCTCACCACTCATCACCTCAGCTTACCTCAATGTGTTCATTCCCTGCCCTGCAGAGAATGAACCTCCTTTTTAACCCCCAAACTTTACCCTTCCAGCCCACTCCTGATTACCTCTTCTTGAACACAAAAGAGTCATTCCCTCCCCTAGAGATTACCTCCTTTTTAACCCCCAGAGTCTTCCCTACCTACTCCTGATTACCTCTTTTGGACCTCCAAATATTCATTCTCTGCCCTGCAGATTTGCTCAAGGTTCACCCTCAGAAATTCCTCTGCCTCTCCCCTCCTGACTGCCTCACTTTCTTCCAAAATATTCCTTCTCTCTGCTGCACATTGCCACAGATTTGACCCCCACAATTTTCCCTACCTCTCTACAGCTGATCACCTCGTGTATACCTAAATATGTTCCTGCTCTACCCTACAGACCACCTCAAGTTCACTCTCAAAACTTTCCCTACCTGCTCACCACTGACTACCTCCTTTTGACCTCCAAATATTCATTCTCCACCCTGGAGAGTTTCTCAAGTCTTACCTGTCCACTGGCGACTGCCTTAGTTTATCCCAAAATGTTCATTCTCTCTGCCAGACACTGTCACACATTTTACCCCCAGAACCTTCCCTGGCCCGCTGTGGTGTCCACTCCTGATTGCCTCCTCTGCACCTCTCAGGATTCATTCTGGACCCTGGAGATTACCTCGAAGATTTCTGCCCTAAATGTCCCCACCTGGCCACCACTGATTACCTCAGTTGACCTCCTGATGTCCTTTCTCTCCCCTGGAGATAACCTCGTTCAAAACCCCCAAAGTTTTACCTCAAAATATTCCTTCTGTCCCCTGGACATTACCTCAAGGTTTACCCTTATAATTTTCCCTACGAGTCCACAAATGATTACCCCAGTTTCCCTCAGGATGTACATTCTCTGCTCCACGTGACCTCAAATTTGACAAACAGAAATTTTCCCTCCCTGCCCAACACTGACTGCCTCACTTTACCCCGAGGTATTCATTCTCTCTGCTACAGATTTTATTCCTACAATTTTCCTTACCTACCCACATGTAATCAGCTCCTCTGTACAAATACATGTTCATTCTTTACCCTATAGATTACCTCAAGTTTACCCTAAAACACTCCCCAGCTGTCCACCACTGAGTACCTCATTTATCCTTCAAAATATTCACTCTCTGCCTTGGACATTCCCTCAAGTTTTACCCCCAAAGGTTTCCCCTCCTGCCCACCCCTGACTGCCTCAGTGTCCAGCAGGAGGTACATCCTCTCTGCTACAGGGGACCTCACTCTGGACCCACTGCATTTTCCCGACCCCTCCACATCTCAGCAACTCACTCCTACATCAAGATGTTCATTCTCTACCCAGCACACCACCTCCAGTTTACTCTCAACACTTTCCCCACCTCTCCACCACCCAGGAACTCATTTTCACCTCAGAAGATTCACTCTCTGCCCTGTAGAGTCCCACAGGTTTTACCCCCCACATTTTCCCTGCAGGTCCGCAAGGTTTACCCCAGTTTACCCCAGGAGGTGCATTCTCTCTCCTCCACATGACCTCTGATTTTACAAACACAAATTTTCCCTACCAGCCCACCCCTGACTGCCTCACTGGACCTCAAAAGCCTCATTTTCTCCCCTAGGTGACATCCAGACTTACCCTCACAGTTTTCCCTGCCTGCAAACTACTTATTACTTCATTTTTACCTCTAAAGATTTGTCCTCTGCCACAGAGATGACCTCAGATTTTTCCCCCAAAACCTCCTTACCTGTCCACTACTGATTGCCCCAGTTTACCCCAGGAGGTGCATTCTCTCTGCTGCACATTACCTCAGGTTTGACAAACAAAGATTTCCCTCCCTGCCCACTACTGACTGCCTCACCTTACCCCAAAAGATTCATTCTCTCTGGGACAGATTGCCCCACATTTTACTCCCAACATCTGCCTTACCTGTCCACGTCTGACCAGCTCCTTTGTACCTACAGAGGGTCATTCTGCACCCCACACACACCTCAGGCTTATCTCAAACCTCTCCCCACCTGTCTGCCACCCAGTGCCTCATCTTTACCTCAACACATTCCTTCTCTTCCCAGCAGATTACCTGAACTTTAACACCCACCGTTTTCTGTGTCTGTCACCACTCATCACCTCAGGTTACCTCAGTGTGTTCATTCCCTGCCCTCCAGAGAATGAACCTCCTTTTTACCCCCCAAACTTTCCCCTTTCAGCCCACTCCTGATTACCTCTTTTTGAACATAAAAGAGTCATTCTCTCCCCAGAGTCTTCCCTACCTGCACACTCCTGATTACCTCTTTTGGACCTCCAAATATTCATTTTCTGCCCTGCAGTTTTGCTCAAGGTTCACACTCAGAAATTTCCCTACCTCTCCCCTACTGACTGCCTCACTTTATTCCAAAATGTTCCTTCTCTCTGCTGCACATTGCCACAGATTTGACCCCCACAATTTTCCCTACAAGTCCACCACTGAGTACCTCATGTTCATCTCTCAATATTCATCCTATACCATGCAGATTACCTCAGATATTTCCCCCTCCAATTTTCCCCATATGTCCACAAATGATTACCCCAGTTTACCTCAGGATGTACATTCTCTGCTCCACGTGACCTCAAATTTGACAAACAAAAATTTTCCCTACCTCCCCAACACTGACTGCCTCACTTCACACCAAGATATTCATTCTCTCTGCTACAGATTGCCCAGATTTTACTCCCAAAATTCTCCTTACCTACCCACATGTAATCAGCTCCTCTGTACAAATACATGTTCATTCTCTACCCTGTGGGCTACCCCAAGTTTACCCTAAAACACTCCCCAACTGTCCACTACTGAGTACCTCATTTATCCTTCAAAATATTCTTTCTCTGCCCTGGACATTCCCTCAAGTTTTACCCCCAAAGGTTTCCTTTCCTGCCCTCTGCTGACTGCCTCAGTGTCCATCATGATGTGCATCCTCTCTGCTCCACATGATCCCTGATTTTACCAACAGAAATTTCCCTCCCTGCCCACCACTGACTGCCTCACTTTATCTCTAAATGGTCATTCTGTCCTCTACAGATGACATCAACTCTTACCCCCAACATTTCCCTTCCTCTACATCACCCATTATCTCTTCCTGACACCCCAAATTTCCCTTCCATCCCTACACATTCCCTGAGTGTTTCCCTCCCAAGCATCCTTCCCTTCTTCGCTGTTTAATAACTCACACTCCAGCCCCAGGCTCTCCACTCCCCCCTCAGTGGGACCCCTCCAAAATGCCACCTCCCTCCCCTCTGCAGCACCTCACCTTTTCCTTCAGAAACAGTTCCTGGGTCCCCTCGAAATTACCCCAAGTTGGCAGCTACAAATGTCACCTCTGTCCCTGCCATGTTCTCCCAGGTTTCCCCAGCTGGGAGCTGCAAGGAATTCAGCCCAGTGAATGGAAGGAATTCAGGCCAGTGAATGGACATCAGGGAACAGCTGTACATGCAAAGGCAGAAAGAGAAGGTCTGTCAGCAAAAGGCACAAAGAAGGGGACAGGCTTCAGAAAACATTTCTGCAATCTAATGAATAACTCTTTCCAGTTTCCCAGGGAGAAGAACAGGAACTCACAGCCACCAAGGCCTGACAGTCCCCTGCAGCCAGAGCTCAGCACACAGCCAGTCAGGCAATTCCAGCATCTAAAAGGAAAAAAAAGAACAAAAAAAGTGACTTATTTTGTTTTAAAGTTACTTTCAGTTGTTCCAAGCAAAGCAAGCCTTGCTCTGGTTTCAGTTGGGTGAACAGTGAGCGCTGGGCACAGGGCACGTCATTAATGCCCAGGGGATGGGGCTTGGTGGGGGAGGGAAGAGCAGCTGATGGAGTTGCCCAGTCCAATTCCTGCCCCAGGCCTGACTGGCCCAGGACAAACCCTCTGGCAGGCAGTGGTTTTGTTCCCTCTCATGGTCAGTGCCCAGTGTGTCCCTGTGGGCAGTGCCAGGCTGGGGACAGGCACACGAAGCATGACTTCATGCTGCTTCCTTAACAGGAGCACACCAAACTCATCGAAGCCAGAGAGGAAATTACAAACAAACAAACAAACAAACAAACAAACAAACAAAAGACCCAAAAAGATGCTTTGCACTGATACACTCTCTGGTTGATCATTCCAAAGGAAATTCTCCACAGATCAGAAGTAAGTACCAATACTTTGTCCTCTATTGAAAATTAATGACTTGAGGGGCTGGACATGTCCAGTGAGGGTTCAGGGGTCTGGTGGGTCCTTTATGGCTGATCCTGACCGGCCCAGGCCAAACCCAACCACCCCCATCGCTGCTCCATCCCAAACCTGGGGGCAACATTCAGACAGTTTGGAAACACTCCCCTTCCCTGCTACTCTGTCCTTCCTTACACATCCAGTGCCCAGGGAGCAAATGCCAACAGCAGGAGGAGAGAAAGGTGTCCCTCTGACTTACCCCACCCCACGGGCAGCACCAGGAGCCCCCAGCCCGGCCGGCGGGGCTGCAGCCTCTTGCCTTTGGCTGCTCCCAGCCCAGGGCACTTGGCAGAGCTGGGCTGGATCAGGGCTTTGGCCTGGCCTGGAAGAGAGGAGAACAAGGCAATTAAGGGCACTGGGCAAGTCAAAGGCTCCTGCCCTTCACCCTTCTCTTCAATTGCTCACTAGAGAGTTTTAGCCAAGAAAAGTCCAGGGGGGACACCAAATAAAATGGGACCTTTTCCAGCATTTTCATTCCTATCTGTTTCAGGCATTAAAAGAAGGCTCGTTTTTCTTACTGCATTCCTTGCACCATTTGATCAGCATCATTTTCATTCCAAACCCCCCTTGTGAGTCGGTTGATTTTCTGCCATTGGACTTTGGGCAAAGGAAGAGACACTTGGGATGATGGACTCCAGGAAATGGTGGGCAGCAGCCCAGGAATGCCCCTCAAAAACAGGGGCCTGGGCAGCTGGAGATTATAGGAGGGGAGTTGTGAGGGGAGACACAGAGAGAGAACAGGAACAGGGGTTGTTTGGGAACAGGCTGTATGTCCAGCAGGGAGGGGAACTGGAAACAGGGGAGGCTGGAGGAAGGCAGGGGGGGAGCACGGGCCTGCCTTGGATGGATCCTTTTTCCCTTTGCTCAGGGACCTCAACTCCACCCTCTCTGAGAGCAGCAGGGAACTGCTGCGGGGGAAGAGTTCATTTAGGCACAAGCCAGTGATGCTTGTGGGACAGGGCAAGAGGGGAGAGGAACTGACACAAAAAGGACGCAACCACCACTGAAAGGGACTTTATTGAGCTGCAACACAAACACATTCACAGCAGGCCCGGGCAAGAGGTGCCCACAGGACCACCAACACAGCAGCTGGGCTTGTAGGAACACCATCTTCTCAAGTTATGGAGTCAGGGGTTGACAGCTGGGAATCGATCCTGGGGGGTTGGAGAGCACTCAGGCATCAGGGCCAAGTCCTGCCCAGTCACTGCAGACAGTTCAGCCCCAGCAGCAGTGGGAGTTTCTGCCTCTCCCTCCAATATTATTTGGGACCCAACAGCTCAGTGCTGTGGAATTTTAGCTCCATAATTGTTTTACACAGTTGAGCTTCACCAGAACTGGGGCACTTGTCAGCATTCCTGACTCTCCCAGGGCTGCACTTCCTTTGGGCATGAGGAACCTTGCAGACTGCTCCAAACCTTCACAGCCCACTTGCTCTTCTTGCCACAGCTGGACCAGTTCACTGTCCCTTCAGAAAGAGAAGGCAATGATCCTTTCTGAAACCAGAACCTCCCCCCCTTTGCTTTCCCATTCCATGTTTGGTTCCCTACACAACTGAGGCCCTTCCAGGCCTTGCCAAGTGGCAGCCAAGGAATCCAACTGAAGAACCTGCCCGAGAACAACATCTGTCCCACAGCAACATCATTCCAGGCTTCTCACTGCCACCCCTTTGCTTCTCCCAACAGCTCTGGGGGCACCAGAACTTGCCCTGAAGGCAGAAAGGCTCCTTTTGGGAGCACCACGAGCCATCTATTGTGTAGCACTGGAATTCCATCTCCTGGACAAGCCATGAGAAGCAGGGAACAATGCCTACAGGGACACGTATGGAAGTGAGTCACTGTGGTGCAACAACACAGGAGTGGAAACCATTGGGACACTCAGTCTGACCAAACCCCGCAGTCTTCCGAAAGGAATTTCTTCTTTATGGAAACAGGGCATGGCCAGGAATTCCAGCACGTGCAGTCAGAGGGCCTTGCACAATTGGGCACCTGACCTGTACGGTCCCAAATGTTCCTGATGTTCTCCTGCACACACTGCTGGGGCAAGACTGACCTGTATGGTCCCCAATGTTCCTGATGTTCTCATGCAAACACTGCTGGGGCGAGACAAAACTGATGCTCTACTCCTGCTTTTGCTGCAGCCTGTGAGGAGAGGGGAACTTATTGGGATAAAGCACCCCAAATTTTTGCTTCACTATTTGCCCTTGTAGGAACAGCAAAAGCTACAAGAAACAAATTAGGATGCTGGCTTGCAAAGCAAACAAATGCAACAAGCAAGGTACTAAGTGAACTGCTTTTGGATGTTAATTCAGTCAGACCTGCTGTGTTACAGAATAGAGCTACAATTGACTTTTTACTATTGGCTCAGGGACATGAATGTAAAGAATCTGAAGGAAGGTGTGGTATGAATTTGTCTGATCATTCGGAGTCTATTCACAGTGCATCCAACAGCTGCAAGAGGGAGTTGCAAAGCTGCAGGTTAAGGATAGCTGGGATTAGCCGGAAAACCTGCTGAATAGTTGGGGAATATCAGGATGGGTTAAATCCATAGTGAAGATGGGATGGGCCGGTGTGGGGAGGTTTCTGTGTATTGCAATATGCTTGCCATGCTTGATGCAATGTGTTAAACCAGCTATAAACAACACACTAAAGGCTGTTTTATTTGTTAACAAAGCAGGGGGAATTATGGAGGTGAACAGTGTCACCTCCCTCGGGCCCAGGACAGTGGACTTTGTTCAACTAGCTGGCAGAAAGCCGTGGGAATGGAAAGCAGGACAAGAAGACATGAAAGAAGAAGATACAAGACTGCAATAGGGACCTTGGTTGCTAAGAAATGTAGTTATTTGTATCTATTAAAACACAGGCTGTATTATGTAGACTTGAAAAAGTAAGCATAAGTAGAAGATCACCAACTGTTCTGCTTGAACTACCTATTGTTCTGCCTGGGGTATATAAGTTTATGCATTGTTATAATAAAGGACTTCGTCTTTCTTATACCACTGAAACAGAGTCTGTGCCTTTTAAAACCACACTCCTTCTATTGGGTTAAGGACTTCTATTGGGGAAGTTGGACCTGTGTCTGACCAGGACATGTGCAAACCAAATGCTGGGGACTGGAACACACAACCTGGCACTCCTGCAGCTCTTACCATTACATTCAAGAGAAAACAGCCAATTGCACCATCACTGTTCATTTCCTAATCCCAATCCCACACTGCTTTTGCACTTGGAGCACCACTTTTATAACCCAACTACAGTCCATCAGAGAGCTCCATGTCTAGCAGGGACAGGGACCCCTGGGATACTCTCAGCAATGCCTGAATCCATTGCAGGGACCTTGCTTTGAGCTCCCCAGGGCCAGGCACCCCGAGGATCTCCCCGAATAATCCTTTCGGTGCGCGCTGGAGTCCTCGGGGTGCCCCAACCCGGGGGACACCAACAGCACTGTCCCTCCAGGGGGGCCAATTTGGTCCCAAGGGTTCAATGGACAGCCCAAAAGGCATTTCAAGAGTCCTTCTTTGGAACCCACCAACGGGTACGGGGAGGAAGCCACAAGAAGGCCTCATTTCTAAAGGCAGGGGGATCTTGCCTGTGTCCCAGACTGGTCCGGGGATCTGAGGCCCTTCCCGAGAAAATCTCGGTGCCGGCGTGAAGGGCCAGAGATCCCTTGGAGCCACGGGAGAGCAGGCACAGAGTCCCTCCTGGGGGGCAATTTTGCTGCCTGAACTCAGCTCTTCAAAGAAACCTCTAAGACTCAGCTGGTGAGTTTTAGAAGCCAGGCATTCCTTGCTTACAACACCCTGACATGATCCCAGCCCAACAGGGGTCCTGGCAATCAGCCTCCAAAGGGCACACACAGGTATCTCCACTGCAGGTGATGGGAGGGGTCAGCATTACAGGAGGATTCATTTTCCTTCCCTGCATTCCTGTTCCACGTTCAGGACATTTTCCAACACTTATCACCATACACACCTACCCTTAGAAGGTTTCCAAGGGGCTTCACCGAGGGCCTTCCCAGCTCTGCTCTGTCTGGAGCCCTCAAAGTCCTCAGGGCCTGCCTGAGGAACCTCAACACAACTCACCTGCTTACACAGCAACTCGGTGCTGCTTGGCTGCTGCCTCACTTCCCTTCTTCCTTCTTTCTTCACCTCCCTTGCTTGGTCCCTTTCAATCCCTTGGCTCAGCTCTGTGCACTTTCCAGCCTACATCCCACTGCAAAAAGGATTAGCTCTTGTTACATCTCAACACTCAGGTATCATTCCCACTTTTTTCCTGACACTTGGCCATCAGGCCAGTGTCTTATTATTTAAAGCAGAGTTTGACTCCTCAGTGACAACAACAGCTACAGCCCTGAATCCTAACACAGGCTGAGACACAAACATGGATGGGAACTCTGAAGGATCCACTTTGTCCTGCTCACCAATCAAAAGGAGCTTTCTGAACTCAAGAAGAGACCCAAGGTCCTTTCTGCAACTTCAGCTGCTATCAATGTGACCCACAAGACCTGCAAAGGCCCTTCCCACTTCACCTGCAGGGCTGGCAGTGCCACCACTGGACACGGACCCAGGGGCTGGGTAGGAACGGAGGGGCTGGGGCGTCCAATCCATCGGCCCAGGCGGCACCAGGAGTTCCTGGAGTTCCTCAGGGGAGAGCCTCAGGATTATGAAGATCATTTAAAACTTCAATATGTATATTTACTGGAATATGGAGAGTTTGACAAGGCCTACTGGTGCAACAAGGACACACTCAAGGCTATCTATTCAAAGGATCTACCAGCACTCAAAAGCTGTCACTGTCCTTCTTCCAGGGGGAACTCAGGAAACTCTGTTTGCCAAGAGCCTCCAGGGCCATTTCCAGGTTTTGGGGCTCCCTTTTAACCATTTTTCCCATCACTGTAGCTGGGACTATCACCTGCCCTACAGGGGGAACAGCCCACAAAGTTCACTTGCAGGGATGCCATTAACTCAAAGTCCCTTCTCAGGGGGGTCACTGCACACCTTGTCCTTTCTTTGCCCTCCCCACCAAAGATGCTTCCAACACTTCTGAGACATCTGGCAGACCCAGAGCTCTCCTCAGGGAATGCTTCAGCTGCTTAAAGGCTGCCCTTGCACCATCTAGACAAGGCAGCAAATGCTTTAAATGCTATTCTTAAAAGTTTGCATAACAGTCTTACCACACATCCAGAGGGAGCAATCCAGAGTCCACCCCGTCCTACCATTCCC